TTAGCTCTGCACCCTTATGTTCTCCGAAGTTTTGTACTCACCCTTACCATTAGAGAAACTTTAATGAATGTATCTGAGGTAAACCTTACAAAGGCATAGAAAATTGGTTTGAGGACTAGCACAACCCTGAAATGAGAGAAGACTTCCTCCATTTGGAGAGATCGGGATAAGAGATTCGGAGAGACTTGCTACAGTTTTTAAATGGATATGAATCGAGGTCAACAGACTCCTGAAGTACATTCCTTTCTTGGGGGGGGGAGGGAAGAGGACAGGGACTGGGGAGCTCAGGGGTTAAATTTCTGTACTGACTAAAAATAAGGTAGATAGTTCACATGCGCCTTTATCAAAGTTACTTTGTTGCTAATTAGCTGAAAAGGAAAACTTTTCCTTTTCTAGTAATCTCTCTGCCACACATGATTTTAAAGACTAAAATACAGACCTTTCCTTTTACTTCCTACAGGTTAATATGTTTGGTCTTTTTAAAATGTGTTCAAGGGCGCCTGGGTGGCTCAGTTGTTAAGCAACTCTCTTCAGCTCAGGTCATGATCCTGGGGTCCTGGGGTCCTGGGATCGAGTCCCATATCGGGCTCCCTGCTCCGCGGGAAGCCTGCTTCTCCCTCTCCCACTCCCCCTGCTTGTGTTCCCTCTCTCGCTGTGTCTCTCTCTGTCAAATAAATAAATAAAATCTTTAAAAATAAATAAATAAATAAAATAAAATGTTCAAGAATTCCCTCAGAACATTTTTTAGTACTTGGTTTCAAATGATCTGGCCAGGCTGGACAAAATGCTGTTCATCTGAACACAAAACAGCACACACAGTTCTTGTAGCTTTCATCCCGTCTTTTCTTCCTAGAATGACTAACAGAGGATTCAGCAACTGGCCCTAAATGACAGCCTATGGATAAAGAAAGGGAATTTCACCAAGGCTTCTGCATTCAAGGGGAGCCAGAATAAAATCAGCAATGCATCGTTATCTGTTCGTTACAAGTAGTCCAAGCAATACTGAAAATAGAAAGAAAAAACAAATTTCTAAATGATTAGTATCCATCAGATGAATCTGTGAATGCGTAAATTCTACAGATACTATATGAATGTGTTTAATTCTAGGGGCACCTGGGTGGCTCAGTGGGTTGGGTGTCTGCCTTCAGCTCAGGTCATGATGGGGGGAGGGGGGAAGGGGACAGGGGGGAAGGGGGGCAGGGCCTGGGATCCAGCTGCATTGGGCTCCCTGCTCTGCCGGAAGCCGGCTTCTTCCTCTCCCTCTGCCATCCCCCCCTCCACCCCCAACCACCACTGCTTGTGCTCTCTGGCTCTATCAAATAAATAAATAAAATCTTTAAAAAAATGAATGCATTTAATTCTAAGTTAAGATAAGCTAAATAAATAAGGCTGCTAGGGACAAACTCTTACTAGTAAATTTCAAAATCTACTGTTAGAGACCTTGAGAGCGATGCCTACAAGTTTTTTTTTTTTTTTTAGATTTTATTTATTTATTCATGAGAGACAGAGAGAGAGAGAGAGAGAGAGAGAGAAGCAGAGGGAGAAACAGGCTCCCAAGGAGCAGGGAACCCGATGCGGGACTCGATCCCAGGACCCTGGGATCATGACCTGAGCCGAAGGCAGACGCTCAACCATCTGAGCCACCCAGGCGCCCGATGCCTACAAGTTTTTAAGCAGTTGTCCATCAATAGTTCTGAGTATGTGCAGAACTGATTAAATAAAAAAACTAAGTGGTATTATATAATCAAAACTTCAAACTGAAAAAGGAAAAAGTATTCTACAGTGACACCTACTGGTAAAGGGTAACGTAGTAGCCTGACACTATTTGACAGATGTTTACATCCCTGTAGCACGTTAGAAGCTACAGGGAAAGACTTAATGATACTCAAAAGGGAAAAGCTAAACAAAAACATTACACATACCAGAGTCTGTAAACTACAAACTAAGCCCAAGAGGCCACCATGATCCTTCCTAACCAAAATTTTTCCAATCAATAAATCTGAACTAAGTTTCCCCTGGCCCCAACTGGCCATGCAAATGAAATTTTTATATGCAAGTTAAAGGCAAGATGTCCAATTTACTCATGTTTCTTTTATATTTTAAAGAGTAAAACTGAAGAGGTAAAACTGAGTTCTGTATGAAACTAGACATTTTATTGGTTTTCAGTTTAAGCTGAAGACTTACATGAAAAGCAGGCACTCGCTTTAAAATAGCCAGGATATAAATCCCCTAAGTTCTAAACATCATTTTTCAACAAAATGATCACCAAAATAAAGAGAAAGCCAGATAATCACCTGTTCCCTAAAATGAATGTTTCAAAGGACTGAGTCCTTCCCCCCCCATACTTTTATACAAAAATTCAATAAATATTGTTTAATGTGACCAATGACATCATCAACTTCAGACTACCAATGCAAAACATCTCAAAACACTTACTATTTGAGCCCATGTACTTCTTCTCAAACTGAGATTTTCAAATGTACTATTTCAAACATAATTTTAGTCAAATTTAATCGGTGATATATAAAAAAGCATACTTTTTAAATTAAATAACTTGGTGTAGTATGCCATAGACAGAACCAGAAAGGAAGAGATAATCTACAGAAGGAAAGAGATAATCTACTTCAACTCTAAAATTCCCAGAAAATCTTACAAATTAGAGGACCTAAAATTCAAGTATTATGGTATCATGAATGATAGAAAACTTGAGTTCTAGTCTTGGATCTTCCATTAACTGGTTGGGTTTCCAAGACCTACACAACCTTCAATGAACTATACAACTTTTCTGGGCAATAATTTCCTCATCCATAAAATTAGAGGAGGGAACTGGATGGGCCCTAGGGTAATACCACTGCTAAAATTTCTTCAGCTTCTATGATTTCCCTAGCAGATGAGAATGGTTTGGGAATCAATGTCTATACCTCAAAGACTCAATAAACATAGCCACAAAAAGGAGGTTGGCTTTATCTTCCAGGTATAACCTGCTATAAGCAAACAATATAAATAGAATCACACTTTCACAATGTGGTGTACCTGTTTAAGACTGAAAGAATCCCTGTTTCCATCCAGTGCATTCTACCTGGCACACAGTCAGAACTCAATATTTACTATAAAAAATGGCTGCGGAAAAAAACTACTCATTATGTAACATGCAAGACTCCAAAACCAACTCTTTAAAAATGTTTTGTGCTTTGCTTTTGTTATATAGTTATTTTTTTTACATACCATGTCTTTTAATGACAATCATGCAATCAAAGTGAATAATGCTTAAAAGGCTACAGATCCTTAAATATGGACAGGGGAAGCTCTAAAACATCTAAATATGAAAGTCAGAATACATTCAGGTCATAACATTTCCTAAATTTATTACCTGCCTGTTAAAACTGGTTCAGTTATGAAAGAACCAGTAGTGGTGGGAACACAATATACATTTCCCCTTTCCCCGTACTAATTTGAACCCAATAATAGTCCTTATACAGTGACTTCCCAGATGCAATCAGGCCTCTTCTACCCATGAGTATAAAGAATAAAATGGAACAAAGATGTGCTTCACTTGTAAATAGCTACAGAAAACTGACAACAGTTAACATTAACAAAACAATTAACAGTCTTGTTCATCAGCTTTCCCTGCTTGGCGTTTAGGACCTTCCCATTTAGAAATTTTTAAAAGGGTAGCCAAAGCTGCCGGAGACAGTTCATGTACTCTTCTGCCTGTTTAAGCAACTGACTGGCATTTAGGGACAGGTGACAAAGGTACACAAACTTTTACTTATGTCAAAGGTGAATTAATATGCTTTCTTTGAACTTCAAATTGTGTGTATCTTTTTTCATTTACAATACAAATATTAGCTCTTAAAATGTAAATTTGTGCAATGAGTTTAATTACACTACGTTTGCCCTTTAAATGTATTCATTCACTCAATAATCAAATATTTATTGAGCACCTATTAAGTCCAGGACTATTCTAGGAGTTGGCAATAGGAATGAACAAGGAGGGGGGTAAGACAGGAAGACAACACACAGGAAAATAAGATACTTTCATATGGTGATAAGTGCTTATTAAAAAGTTATTCGAAGTATGACTATAGTTATCTAATTTATTTCCTTTATATATATATAAATGATTACATGTAGACCTCAGTAAACAAAAAATCTAAATCATTTCAAAATGATCATTTCAAAAAGGAAAAATTACAGCTCACATTCACACGTGTACTGCAGTTTCAGTATCCTAAATGAGTCAAAAAGAGGTATAAGACAAACTGAGAACCACTGAAATATGAGATGAAACAGATTTAAAACATCTGCACTGTTCTCTTTGCTGGGTAAGCACATGGAGGAAAAAGGTGAATATCCAACATGTTTTTTTTAAAAAGAGAAGACAGTGAAAAAATAGAGAAGTTCACCCACTATTCTATGATATTCTATACTTTCAAGGCGACTACAACGCATGTTAAGAAAGCTACCAAAAGCAGAAATATTTAAAATAATTTCCAAGAACATTCAAATCACTCCCCCCCCCCCCGCACACACCCCCAACACACACACACACACACACAGAATATTATCCTTTGAGTTGCTCTTAAAAGCTACTGGTTTGGCAGGAACTTATTTTCTCCGACTTTGGCTCATTTCCAAACTCCCCAAAATATGCAAGGCAAAGGTAAACTGGTTCTCTTACTCCCTCCCATCTTTCTTTCCACGCAAAGCCAAGAAAGGATAGATCAATAGCCCCCCTCCCGGCTGCGCCCTGCAGGTGAGGGCTCAGCCGGGAAGGGGCTCCCCGGCGCGACCACCCCAAGGCCGCGGACCCACCTCCGCCCGGCCCCTGGGTCCGCCCGCCTGACCCACCGAGCGCGGCCTCCGCCCCGCGCCAAAAAGAGGAGCGACGCGGATGAAGGAGATGCACGGCGGGATCCGGGGAGATGGAACCGCAGCGCCAGTCGCCCGGGCCGGCCCCGGACCCCGGCCCCACACCCCCGCCTCGGCACGCCGCTGACCTCTCCGGGCCCCGGCGCTGCTGCCGCCGCCGCTGGTGCCCGAGCCCGGGCTGCCGCTGCCAGAGCCGCTGCTGCCGCCGCCGCCGCCGCCGCTGCCGCTGCCGCTGCTGCTGCCGCTGTTGCCGCCGCCGCCCTTGGCATTCTTGCGCGGGGCCATTGCGCGCACTCCTGGAACGGGCGAGGGGTGGGGGGCTCCCTCGGTGAGCCGGGACACCGGAGGCGCGGGGGCCGCTGACGGCGGCGGGCGCTGCGGCGGGTGCGGGCCGCTGCTCCTGCAGCAGCGCCTGTGTCTCGGCACCGCCCGCCGCGCCTCCCAGGACTTTCGCCCGCGTGCTGGCTGCGCGCGCCCAAGCCTCGCGTGCGCCGAACCTGTGACTGCCTCCCCTGGCGGGCGCGCGCGCCTCACAGGCCGCCCCCTCCCCTCCGGTCACGCCCCTTCCCGCCCGAGCCCCGCCTCCTCCCCCGCTCGCGGAAGGCTGAGTGACGGAGGGTAGAGCCAATCACAACGGCTTCTGTGAAGGGGCGGAACCCTGCCTGCTTCCCCACCCCCTGAAGACTTGGGGCTGCTCTGGGCGCGTCGCAGCCGCCTGTGAGCGCGAGCCGCCTTCGACTTTCCAGTGTGTCTCGGTCCTTTGGAACGTGGCAAACGTGGAAGCCAAGAGGGCTCTCGCGAGCGTTGGCGGACCCGGTACGCTCTGGACGGATGGGGCGGGGCGCGGAGGCGGGGCCGGCGGGCACGTGTGCAGCGTTCGCACCAAGCGCGGCCTCTCGGCCTTTCTCTGGGAATTTTGTTCACGTCCCACTTCACCGCACACATAGACTCCAAAGAATGCAGCCCCGCTTCTTGCGAAAGAGCTGTGTTTCTCGTCTGTATTCATATTAAAGCATTTCTGAAATGGTGATGTTAGGAGTAGTTCAATGCTTAAGCCATACGTTAATTGATCAGTTGGGTTTTAAAGCAGGACTTCATTTCGTTTGTGCCATCAGTATTTTCAGAGAATCTTAGTTAAAAAGCGCGAGTGTAAATGTTAAACAAAAAGTTCATTTTCTTGCCCTGGATGGCACCCTCTATTTGAAACCTCCACTGAGATCTGCCGGGCTAATGCCTACAGTCATCTTTTCTAGCTGTCCCCAGCCGTGAGTCCCCTCCTGTGCTGTCGAGCTGTCAGGGCCTGAACTGAAGGCCTCACGTGGTCTTAAAAATATCTGGGCCCATGGATGATCCAGACAGGAACTTGCGGTCAGGGACGTCACCATTATCTTTGTGTCGCCAATTGCCAGCACACGTCCTGGTGCGTAACCGATAAGCAAGAAACGTTTGGTGATTTGATACATTCCTGGCAACTTCTTAAAACCTTCCCCCAGTTTTTGACCATGTTTTGGAGACCCTGCTCCTGGAAGTGTCTCAAGAGAGCTGTGAACCAGAGAAAGCGCTGGGTGTGGCATCTGGTTTCCTTCCTCTTCTCCAACCCCACTATCCCCTATTGGCAGGTCCCCGGGGTCCACCTGACTCTTCTGCTGTGAATGGCTGGGTGCTGTTTGGGCACTGCCTAGTGATACAGAGAGGCCCATCGAGGGTCGTGTTGCATAGAGGAAAGAAGCCCTCTCTTCTTTTTGTGAAACAATGTCAGGTAGTTGTCAAGATATAACAGGGGCAGGGGAGCTTCACGGTTTTTACTGAAGCAGCTCTTTGTTTTTATCTTATCACATCTCTTTCTGCCTCTACACATCCTTTCTCCCATCCAAGCCACCTTACATTATTTCAATGGGGAGGTAGGGAGCTGGGCTAAGTGACAAATCTAAGTGAGAGTACTCAGTATAAAATAATAATGAGAGCCGAAGTGAGAAAAACAATGCTCTAGATATTTGAACTCTTAAATCAATTCTCACAAAATCCTGAGTTTGTGTCCATTTTTTTAGGGATGAGGTCACTGAGGCCCAGAGAGGTTAAACAAAGTAACTGAGGTCATAGTAAGTAAGTAGTAAGTGATAGAGCAGGGATATGAACTCAGTCCATCTGGCTCCATAGTTTATGGTCCAAATTTTCCGTTCAAGACAAGGCATGGTTTTGAGCAGAGACTGTCTCACCTGGCTCCCTCTTCTCTTAGCAGAGGTGTCCCTGAAGTCTCCTTGATCCTATCTTCAAAGATAGATCTAAAAGCTGATGGTGGATGCTTATCAAAATCTACCTCTTTGAGGAAGTCAAATCTTTGATAACTGACTCCAAGATGTCATGAACTGATGATGCTTTGCTCCCACATTCCCAGAAATCAAATCTGGTACTATTGACAAGGTCCATTGCTCTGTACTGAGGCAGTACCAGGCCAAAATAGAGGCTCTGTAAATACAGATCACAGGAAGTTAGAGGTTACCTGACTTCCTCCTTGTATCACAAGGTAAAAGCTACAATGACATTTATAGACTCAACAGTATAAAGTAAAATTTATAACAATATTTAAAACATCAGATATTGTCAGCCATATATACAGTTTAGTTTCAGGGACTAAATTCTCCAAAGTTAAGCATCAGTATTAAACATTTTATATTTGTTGATACTTCCTACTTTATGGGCATTAAAAACCACAAAGCTTGCCTTGGATCCATGAATTTCTTCACATAGATTCTTTTCTCAGGATTGGGCTGGGGGAGGTTAGGGAGTCAAAGTATCTTCGAAATTGAATAAAAGGTCAAATTTCCTGTTAGCCTATCCTCATTTCTGTTATTTCTGAATAAGCTATGAATGAACCCTGGGTGAAGCAATGTTAAAAGGACCATAAAGACAAGACTTAACTAGGACAATGTATTAAAATACTAATTTAATAGAGCTTTTGAACTAGGCCAAATGTGCCTTTCAGATATTTCCATAAACTTTCCATTGGCTTCACTGGGATTTGCAAGTGAGAACGTGAGGAGAAGATTTGTCCTAGATTTTTTTTTCTTTTGTTGACCTTTCACAACCTCTAGTCAAATGCTTTCCAAATTAGGTATTTGTGGACTTAACTTATACCTATTAGAACACTGTTTTAAAGTTGAGTTTTAACCTGCTTCCTAGAAAGTGCCTCTCATTTATATGCAGTCCTCCTAATGTGAAATTTTATTATTGCAGACTAAAAATGAGTATTTCCTCATCTTTATTTACCATAGTAAATTCTGCCATAGTGGAAAAAAATGAATTTCAACTGGTCATGATTCAATTGTATGTTTTCATTTTATATTACTGGAATTTGTTGCAACCAAGGCTCTGCTGGTCAGTACAAGAGTACTTTTAAGGCATTCTCAAAGTGTCCTCTCATACTCACAATGTCCTCAAAGCAATTATACTCATTGGTTATATCGCAACAAGTAAATGAACTGTCATTTTCACCAAACAGCTTGACTTTATATTACTATAGAAAAAATAAGCCTGGCTAGTATCTACATTATAAATATATGGAGTGAATTTATAGGAGCAGAAATAAGTTTAAACCTAGTCAAAAATATATTTGAATTAGATATCTTGTGTTGTGGGGCACCTCGGTGGGTCAGTTGCTTAAGCATCCGACTCTTGATTTCGGCTCAAGTCATGATCTTGGGGTCATGGGGTTGAGCCCTGTGTCCGGCTCTGCACTCAGCAGGAAGTCTGCCAGAGATTCTCTCTCTCTCACTCTCTCTCTCTCTGCCCCTTCCCCCTCAAATAAATCTTAAAAAAAAAAAAGATACCTTGGGGCGCCTGGGTGGCTTAGTCAGTTAAACGTCTGCCTTCAGCTCAGGTTGTGATCCCAGGATCCTGGGATAGAGCCCCGCATCAGGCTCCCTGCTCAGCAAGGAGCCTGCTTCTCCCTCTCCTGTTCCCCCTGTTTTTACTCTCTCTCTCTCTCTCTCTCTGTTAAATAAATAAAATCTTTAAAAGTAATAATTAAATAAATAAAATGTAAAAAAAGAAATCTTGTGTTGCAATATGGAAAAATAATCTGAAAACATATTACCTAAGCAATCTATCATTTCTTTTTTCATTTTGCTTCTTGATATTTTCTATCAGGACTGGTACTTCTTAGTTCCAAATTCCCTTCCTAATAAACAGCATTTATGTAATGGTTATTGCTAGGTCTTAAGTGTCCTAGTACAGGGAACTCATAAAATTAATTGATTCTTCTTAAGTCTCAAACTTAATGCCAGAAAGAACCTTAAAGCTGGAGAGAAAGTCAAAATAATTAGAGAGTAACAACTGCTTATAGGCATGGCAATTCTGCAGTATATAAAAGGAAATATTAATGCGATTTAGAAGTCCTTAGAAAGTATCAAAGAAATCAAGAAGAGAAAAAAAAATGTGGAGGAATCTCAAGGATTCAGTTGTTTGCAAGATAATAATTTTATTTAAACTTTATTTGCCTCAAGGATCTAATGTGTGTGTGTATATATAACTAAAGTAATCATTTGTCCTTCATGAAAACTACCATTCTCTTCATGTGTAAACAGTTCCCCTAAGTCAAAAGAAAAGTATCCTGAAACCACTTTCTAGGATCCTCCAATTTTATCAAATCAATATATGCAAAGCAGATATATTTGCCTTACAACAGATAACGTTATTACAATATGCGAAACTGAATCAATTAGCCAAACCAAATCCTTGGTAGTTGGTGAGAAATCATGCATACCCTACATCAAATTAGTATTGACTTGGGCCTTTTTACACTGTCATCATTCTGACTCAAAACTATTCTGCAATTTCATAAGCACATGACAGGCATCGCTGAGCTCGTACCAGAAAAAAAAAAAAAAAAAAGAAAAAAAATCCCTAAGAGACTCTGTCATAGAACTTGCTAGCATAGAAAATAAAGAGGGTCTCCTTGTATCATTGCAACAAGATTTTATTAACCTAAAGACCACTGCTAATATATTTGAAATTCTATAGTATGCTTTTAAGGAGTACAATATCCATTACACTTAAAATTTGTTCAGCCTTATATTGTAGCTATAAACTAATAAGTCTTGAATATTTTGTAATTCTTCATGGAACTGCTACAATGCTGACTTCATCACTCAATGAACTCATTTCTCTGGGGCAGATCCCTTTGAGTTAGAGACAGATACCAGTATCCTCGATGTTTACTAAAGCTGTTCCTCCCAGCTCCTGCAGCATATCAATCTAGTAAAACTTCATGAAAATCCCTTCCAAGCATCTGTCTCACAAATTCTGATGCTCTTTTCCCTGCTTCTTTATGGTATCCACATTGCACATAGTTTTTCCAGCTCCAACACAAAAGAAGAATTGAGGAATGCAGCTACCAAATGGTATCCTTAGAGAACCACTTGTGTAAAGACTCAAGTGCAGCAGTTTTGACCATTTAGACATAGTACAAGAGGGTTTTTTTTTTTTAAGATTTTATTTTTTTTTACAGAGAGAGAC